TATGATAGCAGAAATGAAATACTCCATAGAGTAGTTGGAAGACAAAATTGAGGCAGTCTTCTACAAAGTGGAGCAAAAAAGGCAAAGATGGAAAATAGAAGACAAAAGATATAGTCTGGCTTAGGTGGTCTGATATCCAAATAATAAGAGTTCCAGAAAGAGAAAGCTGAGGGAACTATCAAACTATCTGTCAAAGAATTAGCAAATAAATCAAAGAACTAGCAAAGAAATAATTCAAGAAAATTGCCCAGAACTGAAAGGCCTATCAGTTGTATAATGGATAAAAATAGTTTCCTTTCCATCCTCCCTCCCTTTCTCCTTTTTTCCTCTTATCATCCTTCTCTCCTTCCTTCCTTTTTTTCTCTATTTTTTTAACTTCCCTTTGCAGTATATTTTATTACACAATTATGTAATTTTTGGTATAGAAAAATTAGTAAATCCAGATAAAACAAATAATAAACAAATACAGGGACTTCCCTGGTGGTCCAGTGGCTAAGAATCCTCCTTCTAATGCAGGGGACGCAGGTTCAATCCCTGGTTGGGGAACTAAGATCCCACATGCTGCAGGGCAACTAAGCCTGCGCACTCTACAGCCCACGCGCCACAACTAGAGAGAAGCCCGTGTGCCACAACAAAAGATCCTGCATGCCACAACGAAGATCCCCCGTGCTGCAACTAAGACCCGACACAGCCCAATAAATAAATGAATATTAAAAGAAAACAAATACAGTAAAGTGACAGGGCACAGAGATCTGTTGTGTCTCTATACACTGACAGTGAGCTAGTAGAAACAGAAATTGAGAAAACAATTTCATTTACAATTGCAACAAAAAGAATAAAATAGCTAGGAATAAACTTCACCTAGGAGGTGAAAGACCTGTACACTGAAAACTGTAAGACGTTGAAAGAAGTTGAAGAAGACACAAACAAATGGAAAGGAATTCATGTTTATGGACTGGAAGAATTAACATTGTTAAAATGTCCATATTGGGCTTCCCTGGTGGCACAGTGGTTGAGGGTCTGCCTGCCGATGCAGGGAACACGGGTTCGTGCCCCGGTCCGGGAAGATCCCACATGCCGCGGAGCGGCTGGGCCCGTGAGCCATGGCTGCTGAGCCTGCGTGTCCGGAGCCTGTGCTCTGCAACAGGAGAGGCCACAACAGTGAGAGGCCCGTGTACAGCAAAAAAAAAAAAAAAAAAAAAGTCCATATTACCTAAAGCAATCTACCTATTCAATGCAATCCCTATCAAAATCCCAAGGACATTTTCCACAGAAATAGAACAAAAAAATTCTAAAATTTATATGGAACCACAAAAGGCCCTGAATAGCAAAAGCAATCTTGAGAAAAAAGAACAAGGCTGGAGGTATAACACACCCTGATTTCAAACTATATTACAAAGCCACAGTAATGAAAACAGCATGGTATTGGCAGAAAAACAGATACATAGATCAATGTAAGAGAATTGACAGCCCAGAAATAAACCCATGCATGGGTTTACGGACAATTAATTTATGACAAAGGAGCAAAGACCATAAAATGGAGAAAAGCTAATCTCTTCAACAAATAGGGTTGGGAAAACTGGGCAGCTTAAACATGAAACTAGACTACTACCTCACACCATACACAAAAATCAACTCAAAGTAGATTTAAAGACTTGAATGTAAAACACGAAACCATAAAACTCTTAGAAGAAAACATGTATGTTTTCTGTATTTGTCCCTGTATTTGTTTATTATTTGTTTTATCTAGATTTACTAATTTTTCTATACCAAAAATTACATAAATTGTGTAAGAAGGCAGTATGTTCTTTGACATCAGTCTTAACAATATCTTCCTATATATGTCTCCTCAGGCAAAGGAAACAAAAGCAAAAATAAACAAATGGGACTACATAAAACTAAAAACTTCTACACCCTCAACAAAACAAAAAGACAACCTATCAAATGGGAGAAGATATTTGCAAATGATATATCCATTAGGGGTTGATATCCAAAATATATAAAAAACTCATACAACTCAGCAACAAAAAAACAAACAACCTGATTAAAAAACGGGCAGAGGAGCTAAACAGACATTTTTTCAAAGAAGACATACAGATGGCCAACAGGCACATGAAAAGATGCTCATTATCACTAACTATTTGAGAAACGCAAATCAAAACCACAATGTATATCACTTCATGCCTGTTAGAATAAATAACCAGGCAAGAAATAAGCGTTGGCAAGGAGGAGAAAAGGAAGCCCTTGGACACTGTTGGTGGGAATGTAAATTGGTGCAGCCACCATGGAAAACAGTATGGCAGTTCCTCAAAATATTAAAACTAGAAATGATCCAGCAATCCCACTTCTGGGTGTTTATCCAAAGAATAAGAAAATGCTAACTTGAAAAGATATAAGCACCCCTATGTTCATCACAGCATTATTTACAATAGCCAAGATATGGAAACAACCTAAGTGCCCAGCAGTGGATGAATGGATAAAGATTCCCAGAGTGGAATACTACTCAGCTATAAAAGGATGAAATCTTGCCATTTGTGACAACATGGATGGACCTTGAGTGTGCTATGCTAAGTGAAATAAATCAGATGGAAAAAGAGAACTACCACATGATTTCACTCATCTGTGGAATATAAAAAACAAGCAAACTGTTGGTGGGAATGTAAATTGATACAGCCACTATGGAGAACAGTATGGAGGTTCCTTAAAAAACTAAAAATAGAATTACCATATGACCCATCAATCCTGGGCATATACCCTGAGAAAACCATAATTCGAAAAGAGTCATGTACCACAATGTTCATTGCAGCACTATTTACAATAGCCAGGACATGGAAGCAACCTAAGTGTCCATCGACAGATGAATGGATAAAGAAGATGTGGCACATATATACAATGTGCGGGCCTTGGTCATGCTTCCCAGAATCCACTTGTCAAAGCCCTCCTCTTCCTAGGACAGTTTATGCAGAAGTTGGGGATTGAGAAGCTTGAGAACGAATACAATATTCCTTCTTTAGGTTTTCTCTCACCATCTGTTTCTTGTGATAAAAAGCCAAAACAAGCCAACTGACCCTTTCAGCGTTCTACGTGGAAATCATCTTAGCCAGATGCATCAGTTCATTAGGTATTTTTTTCTATTTTTCACATGAGTGGAGATAAAAGTTTTGCTATACTTTCTACCATGACATAACAAGGGTCTGTGTCCCTCCGGGTTTCAATTCTATTTTCCTCAATTTCCTTTGAACCTTCATATACAGTCTCCTGGAAGCCCTTCAAGCTTTCCTTAACGGTCTCATTGAGACTTGTCAGGCATCTCCTACCACCTGGTCCCCAAATCAATGCTGTGTGTTTGAAGTTTTGTTATGGCAGTGCCTCACTTCCAGGGAACAGATTCTGTTCCAGTTATCTGTTGCTGCATAGCAAACTACTTCAAACTTAGTGTCATAACACAACAACAATTTTGTTGTCCTCACAGATTCTGTAGATTAGGATTTGAACAGGGGACATAGGGGATGGTTTGTCTCTGCTCTATGATGTCTTGGGCCTCAACTGGGAAGACTCAAATGTCTGGGGACTGGAGTGCGAGAATCTACTTCCAAATTGGCTTCCTCGCTCACATGGCTGCCACTTGGTGAGCATGGCTGGAAGACCGGGCTCAGCCTGGTCTCTTGGCTAGAGCACCCACACATGCCTCCCTAGCATGGTGGAAAAAGGAGCTAACAAAGGGGCACAGAGAATCTACTGTGTACAAAGCACTTCCATAGCTGGCAGAAGATAGGAGAGGGAGAAATCACCAGGAGTGTTGCAGAAGAGAGACCATACCCAACAGCTCCAGACCATTTAGCTGAGAGTCCCAAGTGAATGTGCTTTAAAGTGGCCCCAACAGGAAAGCAAGCGCTGAGGAGCTGTGGAGCTGTGGGAAGGGGAGGTCTCTGAGCGGGGTGGGGCCTCTGAATCATTTTCTCAGCTTGCTTCCTGTCCACAGAAGTTCAGGAGTCCAAAGTCCTCTTCATTTTGAGACAGGGTGAGGTTCGCTCCTTTTGGCAGAGTGTTCCCAGAAAAGAAAGCAGAGACCCCAGGAGGGGTTGGGGAGGGTGGGCTGGGGAGAGAGGATCTTAGCCGCCTGTGTGTGGGGATGGAGGTAGGGGACAATCAGTGAGCGGGCAAACACAGGTTCGCTGAGAGTCGCCAGACTTGAGTGAAGAAGATGGCAGGTGTAAGCCAGGTCAGGTCAGCTCAGCCCTGAGTTCCTCAGAGGAACTTGCTAACGTAATCATCACCCCATGTGCCTTGTAATCCCACCCCCGGTCACTCACTCGTGTATAAACTTGGACAAGTCACTGCACCCTCTGCTCCGGAGTTTCCTCTTAGGTAAAATAAAAGGGCTGGAGGGGGTTCATTCATTCATTCCTCCATTCATTCAAAGGCTGTGTATTGACGCCATTTGCCATAAGACCTATGAATTCAAGGGGGAACAAGACACAGTTCATGCCTTCAAGCAGCTCAGGTCTTATACTAGGAGACAGAAGGAGAGGTTAAAACGCAGCTAGACTGGTACAGAGCAGGAGGGCTCCAAGGAGGGAGTGGCCAGGGCACCTGGGGGAAGGATTGAGAAAGGCTTCATAGGAGAGGCAACTCTAAAAGCCGCTGTTCTTGGGGATCCTTCCAGGTACAACATAGGCTTTCCTTCTAGGGAACCAGATTTTGGGTCAAAATAAGGAAGAATCTTCTAACAGAACTGCACACAAAAGAACAGCCTTCCATGGAAGGCTTCCTGTTGGGAGGAGCCTCTGTCAGGGCTGTCACAGGTGCAAGGATCCAAAGGGCCTCCACCAAGGGTCTATATATATTGACAGGAGGGCCAGTGTGGAACGTGGAGATTTAATTCTCACTTAGCTACACTAGGAGCAGCAGCTCTGGTGTGAACCCCTCACACTGCCACACACACACACACACTCCCTGAGCCATCCGAGGGGACGAGCAAAAGGCAGGCAAAGGAGAAGTTTCGGGTGTCATTATTACTTTTATTCTTATCTCCTGTCAGTCATGGACCAGGAAGGTGAGGCCAGGGAAAGGAACAGCGCAGATCCCAGGAAACTTGGAGGAGCTGAGGCCTGAAGGGCTTGTTTCTGGGGGTGTGTCTCTGCCCTTGGACACTCGAGAGAAAGCTCTGGGCCTGGGTGGCACAGGGGTGTTTCCAACAGACAGGTAAACAGTGTCTGAGATACGACAGTGGCTGGACTAAAGGGAACAGCAGGAGACTGAGGCAGAGAGTGGTCTGGGGTGATCCGAGAAGAGCAGGGAATGAAGGCCAGTGGCCAGATCCAGCCCGCAAACCTCAGGCCACACATCTTTCTGCTTCTCGCCTGCAGAACCAGGCCCTGCTTTTCCTCAGGCAGCCACTGAGGGGCAGCAAAGTGCTTGAGTGAAATCCCCGGTGGGCCAGGGAGGCGAGAGGCGGAGCCTTTCGGAACAAGGGTGTCTGTCTGATCCTGATGCCCCCAGGAGCAAAAGATGAGGATGGCAGAACCAAGATTCCAGGGGCTTCCCCAGGCGATACAGGAGCCACACCTGAGCCCGGGAATCGGTGCTAGAGGCCAGGGACCTGTGTGTACCTCCCTGGCACCCATCTACAATCCCCAGAAGAGGATCTTTTGCTCTGTTTTCCCCTCAGTAAGAGACCTCTGACCTGCATCACAGATGGCCAGATTCTCGGCTGCCTGCAGTTTTATAAAATCCAACCCACCCCTTCCTGGGCAGGGAAGCAGGCTCCTCTCCTCCTCGGCAGCTTGTGCCACCTGCCCAGCTTCGGTTTCTCTGTTTCTTGTAATCCTGCATTCCTGTTCCCCATCCTTCCTCCTTCCAAGGCCCATCCAGGTGTCCCTGGGGTGCCTCATGGCTTCAGTGCAGGTGGAACACAGGAGCCTCAGCCCTGGCTCTGCTGCCAGCTCAGCATGTCCTGGACCCCCCTCAGGACCCAGAATAGGAGACTCCGCAGCGTACTCTGCTGTGCGATGGCCCTGAGTTGCCGTCACATTGTCTATTGCTGAGTGCTTGCCTTCCCCTTTACGCTTTTGGAGCTCAGCCTTGGAAAAGCTGCATAAACCCCGAATTCTGCATAAACTGTCCTAGGAAGAGGAGGGCTTTGACAAGTGGATTCTGGGAAGCATGACGAAGGCCCAGGCTGAGAATTATAGGGCAAGGGGTGGGGGAAGTAACCCCTCTAGCACTGGAACTGGAGATTAGGAGAGGAATCGAGGGGACCTCGGAGGAGAGGTGGCAACTGGATAAGGAAGTCAGTGCAAATAAATGTTCTGGTGCCTGTCTCTGCGGCACTCTGGCCACGGTCTTCCATCTTGCTGATAGAAAAACTGAATCACAGTCAGTAAGAAACACTTGCTTAATAAATACCATGAGCCCGTTGGCAATGAGGCTGGAAATCAGACAACAGAATCCTGCTTCCCAGCTTGTGTTTAGAAGGTGGAAACTACAGAGTACAAAATCTGGTGGTGGTAACTGGGGTGGGGTGGGGAGGGAAGGCCAGGGGTGGTAATGAGGACAATGAATCCCCCGAGCTGTCAGGGCCTGACCATCCAGTCTCATCCAGCCCCCATCCAGTCTGTTAGCTGTATGACCTTGGACCAAGCCTCTCCATCACCTCAGCTTTCCTCTCTGCAATGGGGATGTGCTGAGTACTACCTTCGTAGGGTTGCCGTAATGGATTAATTTAGACCAGCACGCAGGGCGCATCCCACTTGTGCTCCCAGTTGCCTTTATCTCACACACCAACACTGCCATCCATTCTTGGTTCCCTCTCTCCTCATACCCAAGATGGAACAAAACTTCAAATGCTTTTGCAATATTTCTTACAAGTTGGAAATAGGAAGGACGGAGAGGGAGGGATCAGGAACACATAGATAACATCCCTAGTTATCCCCCCACCCCCAGGGGCAAACAGAGCCACCGGCATATGGGGAGAGAGGCAACCCTGGAGGGAGAGGCCAAGGAAGGGTCCAGGTATCCACTCTGAACCTCCCTGACTCCACACAGTAACTTTCCACTGGCCCAGTTAGCCGCTAGCAAGGGCAGGCTGCACGCTTCCCCCAGGTGTGGCCCCCTGGTCCACTCCCCAGCAGAATTGCAGGGGGCTGGGTGGCTGACGCACACCCTGCCTGAGATCTCAGCCGCCCAGAGGCTGATAAGGAGACCCGACCCCATCACATGGGGACCAGCTGGAGGGACTTGCCCTGGTTGTTAACATCAGCTGGATGGCTTCCAAATTGGAGAGATGAGGAGATAAGGAGTGAAACGGCGACATGGGCACTGCCAATGGAGGCCTCAGGAGGCCTGACTGGGGATAAGCCAGCAACTGGCAGAGGATGGGGGGAGGTTTTAGGAAGTGAGATGGGCAGAAAGACCATGGGGAAGGGCTGGAGGCAGGGCCGGACTCCCTCCTGATGGGGCTGGCTCAGTTGCTAGATAAGCCTCCCTTCCCTAGAACACCCAGTCCTCCAGGGCCCAAGCCCTCACTCAGCCTCAGGTCTGTGGGAGCAGCCTGGGAGTTTAAGAGAAGAGGTGAGCAGATGTTGGTTTCAGTCCTGCCACGCCTCCCAGGAGGATGCAGGTCTGGGTGAGTTAGCGGTGCTGCAGAGCCCAGGCCTCCCAGTTGGTTGGCTGCCTGCTCCCACCTCCCTTGGAGCCTCAGGACAGATCCCCACTCAGTAGCAGGGCCCCTGCCCCCACCTCCTGCCCCAACAGCACTGTATCATGACCCAGGAGGGTAAACCAAGGCAAGCACAGATGGCACTGGCTTCCTGCCCCTCTCTCTGCTGCAGGGCTCTGGTGCCTAGAACAAGCCGCTGGTCCCAGAGTTGAGAGAAGACAGGCAGCCTGGAACAGCCATCCTGTTCACCCACTATCCCCATCCCCCCACTGCAGAGCACCCACATCTTGTCTCCCAGTTGTCCTCTCCACCCCTTTCTTACCGAATGTCAAAACCTAACCTGGAAGGAGGGAGAGGAGGCAGGGGGTGGGCACAGGACAGTGTGCCCCATAGTCCTACAGCTGTGGCAACTTCAGGAGGAATCATGGTGGGGCTGCAGGCCTCGGCCAGGCTTCCTGGGATCTTTTTCCCACCTCTGAAATCCTGCTGAGCTTCTCCTACTCATCCCTTGGGTCCTCAAACCCAGAGGAACCTCCAGCCTCGACTGTCTCAGTTTGGGAGATATAACTGGGGGGAAGGGGTGGCACAGGGGATGGTGTGACCCGGGTACCACAGGGCCCCTGGTGGCATGGGTACAAGCTGCAGAGGGTGAGGATGAGGGCTGGCTGAGGGAAGTGAGCAGGCTGGCCAAAGGCTGCGCTGGCAACTAGCTTTATATCTGGGCTGGCAGGAGCACAGGGCGGGGTCAGAGGACCAGCAAGGGGGCATTCTCTGAAGGAAGCGGGGGTGGGAAGGGCTCCTCATTCCCGGTTGGTGCCAAAAAGCTGCAGGAAGAAGGTGAAGATATAGATGATGTCTAGGTAAATGTTGAGGGCTCCAAAAATATACTCCTCAGGGCTCAGCGAGTGGCGTCGGCTACCCATCAGCAACTGGGTGTCAAATGCCAGGAACTGAGAGAAGGGGGAAGAGAGATAGAGAGGTCAGAAGGTCTGGTCACTGTGACACTGACCAAGGGAGGCCAGTGTCCCAGCCCAGGCCCACCCCCAATTTTGTTATCACGGGCTACCTGGCTGCTCAGTGACCCTCCTGTGACAGTCCAGAATATGGCACTTTCCCAACACCTTCCATCCCTAATTCAACACTTATTTACTGAGCACCTACTATGTGCCAGCCACCAATGCAGCAAAGAACAAGACAGACAAGATCCCCGACTTCGTAGAGCTTAGAGTCTAGCAGGAAAGTAACTGTTAGTATGGTGAGTAACAAAGAGAAACACAAAGTGCCACAGGGGGCTGATAACGGGAACCTGACCAATGTGAGTGTGTCAGCGGTCAGGGAAGGCTTCCTGGAGGAGCGGACCTTCAAGCGGAGGCATAGTCTTCTTGCATTCCCTCAGGGCCCTACTCAGAGGATGAACGAATGCTCCATGTAACAGTGAGCAGGGAGCAGGCACTTGTTAGGTGCTTTACGGACATTAGCCTACTTTGTCCTAATAACGTCCCTATTGAGTAGGGATTCTACCTTTCTTAGAGGAAACCAAGGCCCAGAGATGTTCAGTACTTAACCAAGGTTACAGGGCTGGGAAGTGGCAAAGCCAGGATCTGCACCCAAGCAGGCTGGCTCCAGAGCCCCCTCATTTAGCCATTCTGCTCTGCAGCTTATGGGCAGCACCCAGGGTTAATGTGTTTCCTACCAGGAAACAGGCTCCCCCGAGAGCCCCAGTGACTTGCTCAGAGCTGCAGAGACAACGAGGAACACCACGCCATGCCTGCTTTCGGGGGCTCATCACTTAGTGGGGGACACTTACAGATGATTGCAATAAAACCTGGTAAATGCCATAATTAGGGCTGATTGGGCAGGAGGAAGGTAGCCCGGGAGAGGTGACACTTTCCCTGGGGCTTGAAGGACGAGTAGGAGTTTGCTAGACTGAGCAGGCCTGGGGAAGCCCTGGAGGTGAGGGCGGCGGTGTGCAGAATGAGGAATTCATTGTGGCAGGAGCAGTGGGGCAAAGGGATGGATGGACAGAGGCTGGAGCCCAGGGGCCAGAGGCTCCAACAGGGAGCAGCTCCAGCATGTGGGACATCAAGGCAGCTCACCCTTGAGGGCGGGGAGGTGGGCATGATTACAAGTATGGGCTTGAAAGTCAGACCGACTTGGATTCCAGTCTCAGCTCTGCTACTCACTAGCTCTGGGATCCTGGGCCAGGTTATCTAGTCGTTCTGAGCCCGTGAGTCCACCTCGGCAGAAGGGAGATGAGGGTGCTTGCCTCCTGAGGATGTTGTGAGAGTGAGCTAATGCGTGCAAGGTGCCTGGCAAGGTGCCTGACACACGGTAAGCACTTAATGAATGGTGGCTAATGGTGCAGTTTTATTGTTATATCTGCAGAAGGAGAGGTGCCCTCTTGAGAACCTGTGTGCGCTGCTGCTGAGACTCAGGTCTCCTGCCACTCAGCAAGGAGGCGGAAATGTCACTAGGGAAGCTGTGTAGCCTTAACAGCAGGCAAATGGAGAACCAGAGCCAGGGCTGAGGGGGCCCTGCTCAGGGCATGAGAACACAGGACCGGAGCCGGAACGCCTGGGTTTGGGCTTCTATACCTTGGAGCCATCACCCACTTGACCTCAGTGTCCTCACCTGCAAAATGGGACAGTAATGACAACCACACCATGGTGTGGTTTTGAGGGTAAATGTATCACAGCATATGTGTCATCAACTATAGTTATTCTTTAGTGTCGTTTTACTCCACTCTACTCTGTTCCTTCTCAGTTTGATTTGGATTGCCAGGTAAAGTTTCCTTCTGTAGCCAAGAACAGGCAAGGAGAGGGGCTGACTCAATGCTACCGGCTGCTGTCACGGCTGCCAGCATAAGTTAATAAACTGCTGATCTGGCTTACCAATCAGTCACTTGCTTGGTTGATTTCCCAGAGCCCGGTCACCCCTGGGTGAGCTAATGAAATTGAATCTCTCAACTAGAAGGCTTGGACCTGACCCGGTCTGGGGGTGGCCTCTCCAAGGAGCCTCCTAGAACAGCCAGCTGGCTTTTCTCTTGGAGAAAAGAGGAATGAAATGGTTTCTGCCCCTGTCCTTGGCCAATGGCCATGGATGCTTATCTACATGGGCTATCTGCGAGAGCCTGCCACAAATTTCAACCCCACTGCCCAGTAACACCCATCACTGCAACCTCATGCCTGTAAGCCAGCTGAAGGCTTTCCATTCATTTATTCCCAGCAGCATTTGTTGAGCATCTACTATGTTGTAGGGAACATGAAAGCAAAAGACATGATCAGAGATTACATTACGAGCATGCCCTCACATAGGGGAAAGTAACTTGATAATCTCCCTGGGTGATGAGCGCTGTTCCCTAACATGTTGGCTGAGAACAGATATCTTGGTCATAGTTAACATTGTAGTTGGCAGCTAAGATCTCAGTTGAGAGCCAACAACCAGATTGACCACTGACACCTAAAAGGACAGCAGGGGACTTCCCTGGTGGCACAGTGGTTAAGAATCCGCCTGCCAATGCAGGGGACACGGGTTCGAGCCCTGGTCCGGGAAGATCCCACATGCCAAGGAGCAACTAAGTCCGTGCGCCACAACTGCTGAGCCCGCACGCCTACAGCCCGTGCTCCGCAACAAGAGTAGCCACCGTGATGAGAGGCCCGTGCACCGCAACCAAGAGTAGCCCCCGGTCGCCGCAACTAGAGAAAGCCTGCGCGCAGCAACGAAGACCCAATGTAGCCAAAAATAAATAAGTAAAATAAATAAATTTATAAAAAAAAAATTCCCCAATCCTGCCAAAGTCATAAAAAACAAAAAAAGAGGACAGCAGGTGCTTGAGTTGCGAGGCAACTGGATACAAGACCCTGAAGGAGGGGCATCTGGGTCAGGGGCAAGAGGCAGGAGCTGGACGAGGATGCTACTAACTTACATCTGAACCGTCTTTTCGCACGCTAGTCCTTTATCTCACTTGCCCAATTCACTCTAGGAGGTGGATATTCACCCTTATTATTTTAAATATGAGGAAAGGAGTCTCAGAGCAGGTGAGTGACTTGCTGATGGTCATTTATCTAGCTGGAACCAGATTACCTGTCTCCTACATTCCAACAGAGAAGGGGGGAGGGTGGGCTTGAAGGGTGGGAGGAAGCACGCACAGAGGGCAGAGGAGACAAAGGCAAACTTTCCTGGTTCACCTTATTGGCCAGGGCTGCACCCGGTCAGGGTCCCACGGCCATACACTCGGCCTGACCCTGCCTCGTCCAGGCTTATGTCTGCTGTCCTCCCAGAGATGAGGCTGAGAGGCTCTGGGGGAGCCATGCCATGGAAAGGGCAGCTCAGAGCCACCAACAAACAGGCACTGAATACAAAAAGCTGGGGTTGCAATGTGTTGAATCAGCATAAAAATTATACGTGGACCATGTCCATGCTACAGAAATGCCAGCATAAGGGCTCAAAGCAGCACACCCAAGTCTGTTCACGGCAGCTTAGGTTCTAACAGTGAAACCCTGGAAACAAACCCAACCTCTATCAACCAGGGGATTGTTAAGTAAACTGTGGGCAGCAGTGCTGAAGCAGAAACATCTCTGATATACACTCTTGTGAGAAAAGCACAACTTGCAGAAAAATCCAAATCACGTGAGCCCCTTTATGTAACAAAAAAACCTCACAAAACTATATGTTATAGGGGTCTACATAGCATATATCTATAAAATGCATACAGAGAGGTCTGGAAGGAGAGACAACTGACCACAGCTGTTACACAGCCAAATGACATTTGCTTTATCTATATCATTTAAGATTTTAAAAAATGAAATATATGAATAAGTGTATTCATACATTATATTAGAAAAAACTAAGAGAAGGGTTAAAGTAACACAAAAGAAGAGTTTGTGAACGCTTTCATTTAACTGTCCCCATAATCCCCTGGGACAGGTATTGCACGATCATCTCCATCATGGAGCTGAGACTGAGGCCCAGAGAGTATAAATGACTCGCCCACTTCACACAGCCGAGAGGACAGACAATCCCATTCTGTTTCCACCATGTGACTGACACTGCTTTGGGGTGGGGTGTGGTGTGTGTGTGTGTGTGTGTGTGTGTGTGTGTCTGTGCAACGTGCAGGTTCAGCGGCCATGGCTCACGGGCCTAGCGGTTCCGCGGCATGTGGGATCTTCCCGGACCGGGGCACGAACCCGTGTCCCCTGCATCGGCAGGCGGACTCTCAACCACTGCGCCACCAGGGAAGCCCTAAGCATGGGCTTTGAGGATTCCAGAGAAAAGAGACTACCAGCTTTAAGCCCTTGTGCCCTCGGTTGGGTGCAGGACAAGGAGAGGGGAGCTGAGTGGAGACTCGTCTGGGGCCCATAGAAGATACTTCTCTTGTCTTCAGCAACCTGGGTGTCAAAAGTTGAAATGGCACAGACGACCTCTGCATGCAGCCCTGGGTCCTGGGGAGCACTCCCAGGTGGGTCACCACCACCAAAGGAACAGGGTCTGGCAGCCGTGTGAGCCACCAGAAAGTCTGGCCCAAGATAAAAGGGGAGCAGTGTGAAAAGGTATGTGAAAGAGGAAGGGCGTGCGTGTGATACAGTGCTTAAGAGCACGGACTGGGAAGTCGCATAGACCTGGGTTCAAAGCTTGCCTATGACCTTAGGCAACTGACTACTACTAACAGGTAATATTATTGATCACTGATGACATGCCAGGCACTTTCTGACTGCTTTGCGTATATTAATTCACTGAAAAGTCACAACCTACGAGGTGGGTACTATTATTATCTGCATTTTATGGATAAGGAAACAGAAGCACAGAGAGGTAACATGACTTGATCAGTCCACACAGCTCGAATGTGGCAGAGAATGGATTTGAACCCAGCTACTGTGCTCCAAAATCTGGTGTTCTGAATTATACGGTTAACATTTACAATAAGGGTGAAAGCTACCATGGTAGTTGAGAG